TGTTGATATTTGGGTAGATAGAAACATATATAACTACACATGAAGTTCAGTAAAAAGATCAGCATGTAAGTAGATAGATGGGTAGATAGACAAACATATAAATAGGCACATAGACAGAAAGACAGAAAGATAAATATAGAGATAAATAGATAGATAGATAAATTGATTAATTGATAGATATATAGATAGATGGATAGATAGATAGATAGATAGATAGACAGATAAATAAATAGATAGATAGATAGATAGATAGATAGATAGATAGATAGATAGATAGATAGATTGATAGATAGATAGATAAACTAGATAGATAAATAGATAGAAAGATAGATGGATAGATAAAGAAATAAATAAACATATAGAGAAATTGATCGATCATCCATAAATCGATATATCTCAATAGATACATCAATCTCAATAGATAGGTCGATCTTAACCGATAGATAGGTCTCGATAGATCTCGACAGATAACATCGATTTTAATAGGTAGATAGATAGACAGACAAAGGAATAGACAAACAGACTCGTGAACAACTGATCACATAGGGAAACAAGTTGACATATAGACAAACAAATAGACAAACTGAGGTATAGACAATTTTTTTTTATAGAGAGACTGGAAGACAAATAAACAAACAAAAAGATAGCCCTTCAGATTGACATACAAACAGAAAGGTATAATACAAACAAACACACACACAAATAAACAGACAAACAGAGAGACAAAAAAATATACAAAAAAATTGACAAATAGACATACAGAGAGACTGGTAGACAGATAAACAAATATATAGACAGACAAATTGATAGAGATAAAAATAGAGAGAGAAGCAGAGAAACTGAGAGGCGGATCGATAGAAGGGCAGACAAACAAACATGGGAAGCAGATAAACAAGGATATAGAAAGTGAGCAAGGCAGAATGATAGAGTAGCAGGCAAACAGAGAGGTGGACAAACAGAACCGCAGATAGACAGACGGGCAAACCAACTAACACGTACATAGCCATACATATAGACAGACAAGCACATAGACAAATAAACTCATCGACAAACAAACATACAACCAGACGAACATACTTGCTAGCAGATACAAACTGACTGATAAACAGACACAGACACATACAAACATACAAACAAGCAGACCGATAGACAACATAAACAAACATATACAAAAATCGACGTACACAAAAATAGACAAAAACACATACAGACAGAAAGACACACAGATACACAAATACATAAGCACGCAAATAAACAAACAGACAACATAGATAGATAGATACATAGATACGAGGAAAGAGAATACAGAACCACGCGATCACAACGCAATCACAAATCACACCGTAATCACAAAGTTGCAGCATACGAGCGTTGCCATAGCCGAGCTTCAAAGGATTACAAGTGAAGAACAGAACTCGACACTCACAACCATCGAACCACACACCCAAGAACCCCCGACCTTTCCACCAACAAAAGCGCTGACTCTACTCTGGTGCCGAAGCATCAAAAGGGAGTCGCCCCGACCTTCCTCCAGCTTTTATCGCGACGTCGCAGTCAAATCTCGCACACTACAAAAGACTTCCCGCTGGGTCTCGAATAGAACCATAAACACAGTAGCGTAGGGCCCGACGACCCTCGGTTTTGTACTAAGGTCACAAGATCGATCCCAGGCCCGCAACGTCCTACTAACTACCAAAAGCAATCAACACAAATCACTGTTAACAGGTAACCCACTACGTCATACGGTAAGGTCCCATAGCAGTGCAAGTCACTACCCAACCGAGCCGACACTATTCGAGTAATCTAACAACGCAACTCGTCAAAAAAAATTGCTAGAACTTCACACAGAACACATTCGCAACATACGTCCTATCTACAATCTAACAAGCATTCTACCACACATCACACCAGTTACGACCATTCTGCCATGTTAGCCGTAAGCCACGTTTAGCACGGCCCCTTCGTCAACAGTTCCACCAGGAGTCTCCAAAGTTTGCCTTTCTCCCGGGCAAAGTTCCGCAGTCCCTTGTCGAAGAAGTACCCCGAGTAGTCCCGCCGGCGGAGTTCCATCTGCAGAAGGAGCACAGACCCGACCAGCTCCATGTCGGTGATTGAGTTCTGTTCGATTCTATGCAGAGCACTAACCACAACATCCAATTTGACTTTCTTAGGAGTCCACGAGCGGTAGTCCTGAAAGACACGAAAGGTCAACTCAGAGCCTTCCAGCAGATCCTTCTCATTCTTCATCGCTTGGCAACACCCAAGAAACGAAAAAGTCTCCTTCACCGTCAGTCTACAACCAAGGAAATCCCATTCGTTCTCGCCCGAGTCAGTCCTCTTCAATGTAAGGGCATCATCATAACACCCCTCGAACGTCGAAAAAATTCTCTCAGCTCTATGCCTGGATTCCTTCTTCCGGGAGTCGTAAGCCACAAACGTAGAAACATCGTCAACGTAGCAAATACCAACAATCAGCCTTCGATCGTTGCCAATGCCAATGAGAAAGTCCCACTCCGCCTTCGCACACATCGGGCAGGCAAGCGGTGGGCTCGTCGCCTTACCCATCGGTATTCCAATGGCCTGGTCCAACTCAAACTGCACAAACTCACGAATCACAGCAAATTCAAGGAATTGGTAGCCATCCACCTTCGTCTTTGAACTCATCACTGCTCCCTTCCCACGCTTCTTCACCCACACTCCCCGAAAGCCTTTCCGCTCGTATCACCAAATGCACCACTCCAACGCCCGTGTGATCGCATCGTGGGGCAACTTACTAAACATGCCCTTAATATCGTACAACCCTACTGACATACGCGAGTACTTTCCTACCTTAGCCATCTTCCAATTAACAGAAACCAATCGAGGTCGCAGTCCACAGATCGACTTCAGATTGAAGTGCCCGCTCTCCGACAAGGCAAAAAACATTCCATTGACTGCTCGTGCTACCTTCCTACACACACCATTGCTAGGTTCGCGGAACGTCGGGCAGATCGACATATACTTCGCCGTATCCTTGTGTTTTGGTATGGCATAGGCGTTACCGAGTCTTCCCTCAACGTGCCATCTCCCAAGTCGGTCAAAGTTCCGTCTACGAAATTCACCGTAGCACTCGCTCATAATTGCCTCCTCCTTTCTCTCGCACACTTCTTAACCATCGCTATCCTCGAAGGTTGCCTTCATCGTCTGCCCGTACACAAATGGACACATAACCAGCGTATCACTCGGATTTCTATCCAATGGGGCTCGCACCAGTCCGTCCAGCCGTACTGCAAGTTGCCTTACTTCGGTCAGGTCACTAGCGCCTCGCCAATCAGATCCAGTCACGCAGCGCTCGATCTCATCCAGTGCGAAAGTAATCTTGCCAACTTCTTTGCCGAGCCAACTGATATTGTCAACACCGCTAGCCAGTTCCTTCGCCAATCTCATCACTACACCACCACTACCATCCCTAGGCACATTCTTAGCATTGCGAGCGATGATAGGACAGCTAGCCAGCTCACCTATGCGGAAATGGACGTGCCCCTCCGAACGAGGGAAGGGCATATCGACGCAGATGCACCCAAAGACTCCATCCGCCGTAAAACGGTGCTGATTATGGATAATTTCACCCACGTTCTGGCTCCTTGTCCAGACAACATGGGTGCGTCTTCGCACCATCTCGTTACAAGCCTCACGACCTCACTCTTTCTGATTCTTTCATCGAATTCGACCTTCATTATGATCCTCCTCCTGATATTTATAGCAAACCTCTTCTTGAACACATCAGACAACATCTTTCACGCCCTTGTACGACTCCTCTTCTCCGAGAAAAGTTTTGCGGCCCCGTAGTAGCACACCAGTTCATCCATAAATTTTGTTAATAGCTTCTTTTGCTTGCCCTTATGCTTGAACATTCCGACCAGCTCCTGTTTCAACTTCAACGTCCTTGGCGATGCCTCCACTACATCCCGAAGCGCCAGCCACCCTTCAGTCTCCAACAGCTTTTTGCACTTCCTAAGCGGCCTGGTCCGCTTACCCGTGATAACCCAAGATTCACAAAACAGCCTACGTATAGCTAGCCATCCGTCCGACCAAATCCGCCCTCCATTACCTTGCAACTCAAAAGTGGCACCATGCGACAACTTGATTTTGCTATGCAGAAGTACGGTGGGTGAGCAGCCATGGGCATGCAATTACTGTATCCTCCCAGACTGCCCGCCATCCCCATGCACGGCCACATCCACCTTGCTAATCCATTGTTTCCTTCTCTCCTTCCTCCCCTTCCTTCGTCGCTTTCTTGTCCTCTTCTTCGTTCCCACCGTATTTAGAGACGGCGACCAGGTATGGATCAATGCCTTTTCCACCGCTTCCAACTCGACTCTATCATCACTAAAGTAAGTCGGTATGGCTACGTATTTCTCGAAACCGACCTTACCCAACCAATTATACAGGTTCCTACCACGTCTCTTACCAAGCATCTTAACACTACAGACGCGCTCCCCCCATCGCACCATCATCTCCCTCTCCGTCATACCCACGTATGTTTGCTTATACCATGGTGAAACCAGCACGTAAACGCAGCTACTTGTCGCTCCTCGTTCCAGCCTACCCCACTCGGCTTCAGTCTGCCGGTACTCTATAAACTTTGAGCACCACTTCACTTCTCCCAGTAGCGCTAGACCCAACACCATCGTTCTCGTATAGCGCTCATCATCAACGATACGACCATGCTCCCGCAGTCGCCTTTCTGTCAGCCATCCGATCCTGCGCCATAGATCCTGAGGCCTGCATCCTCACTCAGATGCCTCCTCGTTATCCTTGTCTGTGTCGTCGTCTGCACCGTGTGTCGTCCTGCACGATCGCCGTACCCCCACCCTCGGGGACACCGGTAGGGGCACGTTGACGGGATCATATGCTTTCACCATTCTCCTTTTCACCAAGCGGTTGATTGCACTCTCCTGCTTGCCATACACCACCCGATCCGCCTTGCAAGCATCCTTCAATTCGTCAACGGTCAACGCCTCAAATAGTTCGCGGCATTCAGCCTCGTATCTCTCCTTGTCTCCGAGTCTGGTGTCGGCCATCACATGCTTGAGTGACAGCGAGATCTTCCGAACAGGTTTGAGGATGTTAGACGAGCATCCAGCTCCTGCCCCTTTGTCATTGCAGATCTCACTAATTTGTGATTTTGCTCCATAGGACAGGCCTGTATGTTACCCTTCGTAGGCGTAACCATAGGAGGGTTATCCCCCACAGCCATCTCCTTGCCCCGCTTTCTCTTCTCATTCAGACTAAGGCCAGCGGCCCTACGCCGTAATCTAAGTAACTCGTCATCTTCGGATTCTTCCTCGTCAGCCTCCGCGGTCGTGATCATCCACCTCAACTGCTCCTTCTCTTCTTCCAGCGTCTCACCCCGCTCGTTGGTTCGCACGATCTTTACCACTTTTTTCACGGCGGGCCCACTCTCGTCCTTCTCTTTTCCCCGAAGTACTTCCTCTCGTACCATACGCATTCGTCTTGCGTCACGTTCATCCTCATACCTCCGCCTCTCCGCCAGTTCCTCGAGTCTCTTCAGCTCTGCCTCTTTACGCAATGCTTCCTCATTGCGAGCCGCTTCCTCCCTAACCTCCCTCTCAACACGCTCCCTTCTTTCTTGATCTTTCTGGAGGAAGTACTCACGCATGAGGCTATCAATTTCACTTCCACCCCTTCGAATTGTGCTATCTGCCGACAAGCTTCTTCGCTCCTGCCCAGTCGCCATCATCCGACCGCCACGCACTTGCGGCGGGGGAACGAAAGGTATACCCCTCCGCTTGGCATCCTGGTAGTCGTCACAAAAGTTCCGAAAATGATCCGGATCACCATACCTGAAGCACGTGCGTCCCGCCATCCAATTCTCTGAGCTAGACTGAGGGCCATCACCTCCGCTCCTTCCACTCCCTCTATTACCAACCGGCACAGTAGAGCCGCTAACTCCGTTGTTCCCACTCTCGCGACTCGTCGTGCGCCACACCCAATACACAGGTCATTCAATAGTTTCACGCACACACTTCACGTAGTCTTCACGTAGTATCTTCACGTACCGTCACGTACCATCGAAAGCGCTGCCATCCCCTCCACGTACAATTTCCTAGCAGGTTACGATGATTGGTCCAAGAAAAAAGAATATAGAACCACTCGATCACAACGCAATCACAAATCACACCGTAATCACAAAGGCGCAGCATACGAGCGCTGCCATAGCCGAGCTTCAAAAGATTATAAGTGAAGAACAGAACTCGACGCGCACAACCATCGAACCATACACCCAAGAACCCTCGACCTTTCCACCAACAAAAGAGTTGACTCTACTCTGGATACAAAACACAGACAAACAGACACATAAATAGACAAATAGACAAGAAAGACAATAGATATATTGATATAAAACGTAGATAAACAGACAGGCAACACAAAGATATAAACAAACAAACTACCATACAAGCAGATAAACAACACAGACAAACAAACACATAAATACACGAACACGGATACAAACAGAAAGACACACACATACACAGACACATAAGTATAATAGATAAATAAATAGATAAATAAATAGATAAATAAATAGATAAATAAATAGGTAGATAGATAGATTAAATACATAGATTAGGTACACAAATATATTAGATAAATGAATAGATAGATAGATAATTAGGTACGTAGGTAGATAGGTAGACGGATAGACAAATAGATAGATAGACAAATAAACAAATATATATAGAGAATGATAGACACATTGTTAAGACAGGGAGGCAGATAGAGAGATAGATAGACAAAGAGGCTAGGAGATAAACATATATAGATAGGTAGATAGATAGATAGATAGATAGATAGATAGATAGATAGATAGATAGATAGATTGTTAGATAAACAAATAGATAGATAGCTAGATAGATAGATAGATAGATAGATAGATAGATAGATAGATAGATAAATAGATAGATAGATAGATAGAAAGATCGATAGGTAGATCGATAGATACGTAGATAGATAAGTAGCTAGCTAGATCGATAAATAGGTAGATAGATGAGTAGGTAGATAGTTAAATAGAAAGATAGATATATAGATATATAGACAGATAGATTGATAGACAGATACACATATAGATAAATAAATAATATGATACCGCGATAGAGTGATAAAGTGATCGACATATAAAAAAATAAACACGTATAGAAATGGATGAACGAATAGATCGAAAGGTAGAAAGATAGACATCAAGACGTCTAGACATATACAAGTAGAAAGTAAGACAAATAAAGAAATAGACAGACACACATAAAAGACCAATAAACTAGTGGACAGATACACATATATACTTATAAGCTTATAGATAGATAGTCAGGCAGACAAGAAAATAGACAGAGAAATAGACAAAAATACAGATAGGTAGATTGACTAACAGATGAAAAGTTTGATAGAGTGATAGACAAATAACGAATAGACCGATATATAACTAGACACATATATAAGTAGACATACTAATAGACAGACTGGTGGATAGGTAGACAGATAAAAACATAAAGAGAAAAAAATAAATAAATAGATATATAAATAGATAAACAGGCAGGCAAATAAACAAACAGAAAGATAAACGAATAGATAGATACATGTATATTTCGACAGATATATAAATAGATAGATAAATAAAAGATAGACGGATGGATGGATGGATGGATGGATGGACGGATGGATGGATGGATGGAGGGACGGACGGACGGACGGACGGACGGACGGACGAATGGACGGACGGACGAACGAACGAACGGATGGACGAACAGATGGATGGAGGGATGGATGGATGGATGGATTGATGGATCCATAGATCCATAGATGGATGGATAGATACATATATAGATGGATAGATAGATACATATATAGATGAATAGATACATATATAGATAGATAAGATAGATAGATAGATACATAAATACATAGATAGAGCGGTAGATAGATAGTTAAACAAATATATAGCTAATGAGAGAAAAATGTGAAATGATAGAGTTTGATTAATAAAGAATGAGACGAAAAAACAGAAAGAAAGGTTAACGGATAAACAAATAGAAAAATTATCATATTGTGAGAAAAACAGATCGGTAGATAGATAAAAAAAATAGATAAATAGAGAGATAGACTCATAGGTAGATAAATAGACAGATATATAAATAAACAAATAAATACTTTGATTATTAGATAGAAAAATCGATAGATAGATATATAAGTTGATAGATTGATTGATTGATTGATTGATGGATTGATTAACAAATCGATAGATAGATTGGTAGATAGATCGATAGATTGTTCCGTCGATATAAAGATAGAAGGATAGATAGATAGATAGATAGATAGATAGATAGATAGATAGATAGATAGATAGATAGATAGATAGATAGATAAATAGATTAAATTAGATAGATTAGATAGATTAGATAGATTGATTAGACAGATTGATTAGATAGATTGATTAGATAGATGATTAGATAGATTAGATAGATAAATTAGATAGATAGATTAGATAGATCAGATTAGATAGATTAGATTAGATAAATTAGATTAGATAGATTAGATGAGATAGATTAGATGAGATAGATTAGATTAGATAGATTAGATTAGATAGATTAGATTAGATAGATTAGATTAAATAGATTAGATTAGATAGATTAGATGAGATAAATTAGATGAGATAGATTAGATGAGATAGATTAAATTAGATAGATTAGATTAGATAAATTAGATTAGATAGATTAGATTAGATAGATAGAAAGATAGATTAGATTAGATAGATTAGATTAGATAGATAGATAGATAGATAGATAGATAGATAGATAGACTAATGAATCGATTTATGTATAGGTAGATAGATAGGTACGTACGTAAGTACGCAAGTATGTAGATAGAACCTTCCTAAAGTTGTATATATAAATCAATCATCGATCTTAATATCTAGCTATCTATCTATTTATTTTTGTATCTCTTTGTTTATCTATCTGTATGTCTCTCTATCTGTCTGTCTCTCAATCTGATTTATCTATATAACAATCTATGTATATATTGATTGATTGATCTATCTACCGATTGATTCATCTATCCATCTGACGATTTATCCATCCGTCAGTCTGTCTGTTTGTCTATCTCCATGTTTGTTTGTCCAATTGTATGTCTATTTGTTTGTGTATCCTTGTGACAGTCTTAGAGATAGCCTGATAAAGATTTTAAGTAGACAGCGAGTGGTAGAGAGAAACATAGATATAGAGATAAGTAGAGAGATAAAAATAGAAAGATAAACAAATAGCTAAACCGATAGATAAATAAAGCGATACATAGATAAATAGAAACCTGGATAAATAGAATGATGGATAGATAGACAGATATGGAGATAACCAAATAAATAAATAAACATACTTAGACAGATATGGAGATAACCAAATAAACAAATAAATATACTTATAGATATAAAGATAAATAAACATATAAACATATAAAAAAACAAAACAAAGAAATTCTATCTATTTAATTATTTATCTATGTATTTATCTATGTATTCATCGATAGAGCGAGAAAAAAATATATAGAGTTTATCTATCTATCTATAATATATTTTTTTTCTCTGTCTGTTTGTCTGTCTATCTGTTAGCGAGTCTTTTTGTTTGTTCGTATGTTTGTATGTCTGCTTGTTTGTCTGTCTCTCTAGCTGTCTCTTTGTCTATCAATCTATCTATCTATCTACATATGCACCTATTTATCTATCGATCTGCATATCTATTTATTGATCGATTTTTATTTTTATCTATCTTTTTAATCTTACGCAGACAAAAATGGACATGAACGTCGTGTACACGACGTGCAACACTCGCAACTGAAATCGTACATGGAAAATATAATGGACATAAAAAGTCGTTATGTATCAGTTACTGAAATCACACATGACAAATGTAACATGATACAATGTATCCTACTGCTATGTCACTGCCATACTGCCAGATACTACAAAATAAAAAAACATTACTCTACAAGTCGTGTCGAAGGTAGCGAGATACTCTACTACGACCAACGCTACTATACAGACACCCTACTTTTACAAGAATCATACACAAAAAAATAAAGAAATGCAGAACAACAAATACAACACGCACACTACGAGTGCTACCTGACAATACTAAGATAAGACAACACGACAAAAAATCAGAAACACAGAATATGCCGAAGTCGTGTGCAAGTAGGGGAAAGCAGAGTGTTGGCATCACGGCCACCGACCCCTCTTCCCCTTCCCGTTCTGCCTCTTCGTAACCCCTCGAGTGTCGGATGTCAGCCTCCTCTTCCCTCATGCGGATGAAGACATCTGCGCAGCGGGATGTGTCGATGCACGCGTCGGTGGGGGAGGTGGGGGCTCATTGTCGTCGTCATCGTCATCGTTATCGTGACTCTCGCTTTCCTCCGCCTCACTCTCCTCCTCACTCTCCTCCTCACCCTCATATTCCTCGTCCTCCTCTTGAATTGTCGGTGCCGTCTCAGGATCATTTTCCTCGATAGTGACAGGGCCGCCTTCCTTCCTCACCAGAACAACCCTCGTGCTAGCCTGTGCGACCATGTCTTGACCGCGTGATCCACGATGCATCCCCAACCCCTCCGCCCTCGAAGACTCTCCAAGTGCAGCGCCTCCCTCCACAGGCACGAGTCGTGGACGAGGCACTCCACACTTGCGAGGAGTCTGCTCATGCACAATACGTGTCACTGCTCTCAAAGCGTTGTCCAAGGAGGAGGTGGACACTTCCTCGCCACGACCTCGCTAAGGCTCACAACCTGCTGCGGCAACCTCCCTCGCTCCGGCCGTCCTGGTGCCACGGGTTCTCAAACCCGACTAAAGGTGTGCAGTGAGCTCAGTGACATGGCGGGTGGAATCCAAATCTATGTCCGTCCTCCCGAATAACATCGTATCGCACACATCCCCCTCAACCGCTGTCGTGTCACAAATCCTCAATCTCCCGGGCGTGTGTGGGGATTGAGAGCCTCTGCCTGTGGGCAATGACGAAGGATCACCCACACGCGGTGTAGGAGGACGGGGTGGCATGTCTCCTGCACGTGGCGGTCCTTCCTGTGGGCCCCCGAGACCCCTGGAACATCGGCCCTGCTATGTCCTCCGCTGGAGGTGGACCCGGACCACACTGGTGACGCAGAACACCATGAAACCAAAGGGATCATCTGCCATCGGGGATATTTGAGTTTCGGGTTAAATATCCACCGGTCCTGTCGAGTCACATGGCGCGTAGTGGTGGGAGCCAACTCCTCAGCATCCAATGGACGATCGACCTCCTGCGGTGCCGGTCGCTGGGGACATGGAGGCTCAACCAGCGGCTCGGACCCCAAATCCGTGAAAATAACAGGTGGCACATCATACATTGCCACCTCAGTCGGCTGTGACCGTCGGGCCTCGGCCGAGTGCAGACCCGAGAATGGGACAACTGGACCCATCACTTTCGTGTGAACCGCGGGCCGTGCGTCGCCAGCCCCCCCGTCTCGGCCCTGTCCACCCTCTACAACCTCATCCACCGCTTGTGGCCCACCCTCCACAGCCTCATCCGCCTCCTCTGCTGCCACTCCCTCCATAACGCCCGCCCCCGCCACCACCCCACCCTGCCCACCATCTCTCCCTGTCTCTTTGCGTCTGCGCTCCTCCAAGGCCCATGCGAACGCCTGAGCACGAGGGTTGCTGGATGCCATAAGTCGAACCCTCTCTCGCTCAATGATGTCGCGTGCCGCATCCGGAGACTCCGTCGTCGTCCTCTCTCTCGGGGTTTGCGACCCCGTCTCGCCTGCCACCTCGTCCAACGAAGGCGCCCGATCCGTCGATGCCGTCCCGCCGCAAGTAGGGGGAGCGCCCATCGACATGTCAAAGTTGAAGTGGGTCCCCTTCTCTGAACCCGCCCCCCCTGTAGTAGGAGACATCCCCAACCCCCTCGCCATACCCGAGGTGAGACCGCCCACGACTGGATCGAGCTCCTCTGTAATAAACTGCTGCATGAGGTGCTCCTCGACGTCGTCACCGCCCCCAGTGGTGTCCGCACCCTCATGCTCCATAACAACGTCTAAGATCACCGCCACTGGTTGCACTGCCTCCTCCCACTCCACTGCTGCTCCAGCTGGCACCTCCTCCTCCCCTGTCGCCACTGCTGGTACTTCCTCCTCCGCTGCCACGACCTCCCCCTCCACCGCTGCCGCTGTTGTGACCTCCTCCTCTGCTCGGGGTAGCCCCCCTCTGTCCGCTGGAGTGGCACGGTGGCCAACCTCCTCCTGCAAGACCCCCGAGGAAGGTGATCGTAACCTCAGCCGGCGGACCGCCGCAGATCTCTACAGAAGTCGGTGTAGAGTTAAGGAAGATGCCAACTCCTCCGTCTCCGCCGCTGCCGTGGCCGGTTGAAGTGGCAAGACGGGCGATGGTGGTGCAGGACTCGGAACAGGAGGTGGTGGCATGAACAACTCTCACCTCGACGGAGTAGGAGTCGTCATCCGCACCTTTGTGCGGCTCGTGCCTGCAGGAGAGCCCCCGACTCTATCATCATGCACATCACCTCTGGAAGCCACCTCCCCGAAAGGGCCCTATCAATCCTCGTCTCCCCCCATCATCTCCCTCTCAGCCCAGTCCACCGTCCGACGTGCGGTGTATGTCCTCGTCTCCGCGTCATCGGCATCCTCGTGCGTCTCGTCGATCTTAGGAGGGATGGGGAGTACAGGGTCATCTGCTGCCTCGAGTGCCCGCTCCTCATCAGAGTCATCGTCCCCGGGGTACAGACGGAAAATGCACGCATGTCTATCAAAAACGACATCAGAAGAGGGCGGTGTGGGTGTCCCGATGGGATCGCGCGTAATAAGCGTCACCTGCTGGGCAATCTCCTCCAGCGTCATCTCCCTAAGCGTGCCCGTGCGCACAGGCTCCACCCCGAGTCCTGCGTGGCAGTCGAGCATGCCCTCGTCCAGCTGGCATGGCAGTACATAACCGCATCCTGCCCGTCGATACTCTGTCAACCGCACATTTGCGGTGATCTCAACGAGTTGCATGACCTTCTCGAAGGCCAACTAGTTATACTTCTTCGTGTGGAGGCCATCGTGGACTGTCCAGTTCTTATCCGCTGGAGAGGCGCAGGACCACATGTGCATCACACAAAGAGCACACCGTTGCAACTCAGGAGTGCCAACCCCATACTGGGACCACCAAGACACGCACTCGATCGTCTCTGTGTCACCGCTACACATGCGCCCACTAGCACGCCCCTCTGCCCCGCCCCAATCGCCAAACCTGCCTTGCTGCATGTGGAAGTCTTCAAACTGCCGACATATAACTATGTAACCATCTAACTCGAAACCCTTTTGCAACAGAATATACCTCTTGGTTTGCCTCACATGCCAAGCATGATAACCCTCCACCTCACCTGAAAAGTACTGAACATGTTGCCTACGGGGGTTCTGTAAGAGCCCAGTGCAGTGAGCCGGCTCAAGCATATGCTATGTGCGGGCCTGCACACGCCTGATGATCCGGTCTGCGAAGGACAGGCCCAAAGGAGCGCATGAGTCCTTCACACGATGGACAAGATCCTGTGTCCACTCGGTTATTAGCGACATAAACTGCCCTCCACAATCCATCCGCCTAAGCAACTGCATGAAGGGTTCCATGATATGGACAATGGTGGCCACCCTCTGCTACCAAGGATCCCATCTGATATGTCGGTGCACCCAACGCGCCATGATGCACACATTGGCGGACCACAGGATGGAAGCAAAAGCCCGCAAGTCGTCCCTTCGCATCATGCCCTGCAAAGTGTCCTGCAGAGCCAACAGGCTCTCCAACATGGAGTAAATTGACGGAAACCACGTCTCACAGGAAAGAATAAGCCCCTTGTCGGGACTGCGTTTCCTAAAAAAATTAAGGGCGGCCTGGTGGGTTTTGAAAAACACCACCAACACACGAGCGCGCGTGATCGTGTCCATAAACGCGTCGTAACTCGTCCTTATGTCTAACAACAATTTGTTGCAGACATGAACGGAGCACGGGAGCCAAGTGATCCTCCTTAGTGCAAGAGGCACGGTCAGTGAGGTCATTGCCCTTGCAGCCCCCACGTACGCTGAAGCGGAGTCAGTGCATATTGCATTGACCCGCTGTGGCCCACCGAACCTGAACTCGTGGAAGATGGTAACCCATCTCCGAAGGACGTGGTCTACATCGTCCGTCTCCCCCTCTCGATTGATCGTCATATACATGACGACCCCTCGCGAGCCTGTGGTAAGAAAATTAACGATTGGTCTCCCGTCTTATGATTTCCTTCCGTCCGAGAGGATGGTGGCACCAGTCATCCATAATGGTTACCTCAACTCCTTCAATTCCTCTGCCAACTCCGCACAATGGATCTCCACCGGCTGCATGCTCGCAATCTCGTTGTGGCTGGGGAGCAGAGAGCGCGGCGAACTGCCAGGATGCTAAAGAAGCACATGTTGGTATGCCTTCCATGCTTGATTGCGAAAGGCATTGAAGGAGACCCCGCTGGAATAAAGCCAGCGAAGGAACGCCTTCTTATGGCGAGCAACCCACTCGCCACCGTAGGCCTCAGTCACCTTCTGCGGGCAAGGCCTCTTTCCAACTTGGGTGGCAGTCGGATCAACTCCTCCTTCCTTCCTCTTTGAAGGACCCTCCTACCTCAGACCCTCCGTTGCAGGCACTTGTCCCTTGCCTGCTCGCCGCAGCCATTCCAACATCCTTTCCCCAATGGCTAAACGAAACTCTGGCACGTCCTGGTGTTCCGAGAATCCCTCCTCATCCGGGCCACGTGCCTTGTGATCGATGTGGATGATGTCCTCCTCCATGTCACCCCCTCCACCCCCCAATGAGCGATCGGACGCACCCTGCCCACCATCTCCCCCGCCCCCTCCCTCTACCAGATGCTGCCTCGCCTCTCCACCGCTTGCACCACGCCCCCGGGGCACATCGAGTCCATGCTCCGCTGCGTACCTGCCCACCCTCTTCATCTGGCCGGACTCGAACTTTTCTGGACTCCGTCTTGCGATCTCGTACAATGTCTCGTCGATGCCGTCCTTGCAGTAGTTTATTTGGACGAAGTGAATCGTGGCTTGGTACTGAGTCCCCTGGAATACTTTGTTGCAAAACGTGCAATGCAGCATAATCACCCCTTGTTATCGACCTTCTGGCCGACGACAAGGTACCGATACACAGGGGAGCGACCTTTGAACGTCTCCTGCACATGGTCTAGAGCGGGCTCATGCGGCGCCGCCGTGCCCTCCCCATGACAACCGCCCTCAACTCCGCTCCGAAGTGGCGAGGCCTCGCAACCCCATACCCCGACCCTACCCCTGTCTCTGTCCCACTTCACAGACCCGCCCAAACACCGCCACGTACAGTGAAACGCCCGCCGAACAAACTCGTTCAATGGCGTTCAACATCATTCTATCACGTTGAAACGCATTGAATCGCGTTTAACTCCGTTGAATTAAAAATTCAATGGAGTTTGTCGGTGCCGCGCGTGTGAATCTGCCGCCGTCGTCGACCCCGCTCCTTTGCTGCTCCCGCTCCGCTCTCCTCCAGCCGCCACTTCCGCTGCTCTCTTTCTCTCTCTCTCTCTCTCTCTCTCTCTCTCTCTCTCTCTCTCTCTCTCTCTCTCTCTCTCTC